AAAATCTGTCAACAGAGAGACAGGAGGACATTCATTAAAAATATGAGCCTTACAGTTCCAGAAATAATTGGTCTGATTCTATGTAATTCGGTAGCTGTTATTCACATATTATGTTTCTGTACATGAAGATGTTGAAGTCATGAAAGATACATTTTTTTTCTTTTCTAACACAACTGTAGTATAATATTCAAGACCATCTGGTTTTCCTACTGTATGCATTGCTCCTATCACAGGGTTTGCCACAAAGTACGTTTTCAATAAACACTTGTTCAATGGAAAAATATAAAAATATAAAGAACGAATGTGAGCTTTACAATCTTCAGCACACACTGCTAACATGAAGTATTGCTACCAAAAAGAATTTTTAAATCCCATAGTCCACAACAGAATCTTACGTATTTGAAGGAGTCTGGGTCAGGCAAATTTCTTGTCTAAGCAGAGGAAAACAGTCATATCTTTCCAAATCACGCACATCCCCTATATTCCCACTTTGTACACATGTTTCTGGACATAATAACAGCAATATTAATAAAAGCTGTTGAGTGATCATTACTGCCCCAGGAACTGTGTTGAATGCTTCACTTAAGTGTGTTGTATTTGGATGTCCCCATGTTACCAATGAGAAATGAGATTTAAAGAGTGTAGGTAACTTGCCACAAGCCATACCAGTGAATGGCAGAGCCAGTGTTCCAAGGATAGTTCAGGGAGATTAAAAGAAATTGAACATGTGGGAAGTACTTTGTAAAAATAATCCACAGAGGAATATAGAAAATGAGTTATAGAGAGACAATATAATTCCACCATTGTGTACTAAGAAAATCTCTTCTAGTGTCTTAATTATTCTTAGCAAATGGCCTGGTTTATTGTAGGAGCCCAGCATTTCAGTGCAATTCTTTCTGGGGATAGAAAGATAGTTCTCTCAAAAAATGCTGAGATAAAAGTTGAATTTATCTACAATGTTTAGGAAAAAAAAGGAAACACAAAGTTTTTTAAAACAGAAGAAAACAGAGTTTCAATGGTTCCTTCAGTTTATTATTTTTCTACCAGGTGTATTCTTTTCCATGTGAATATGATTCTGGTACGCAATTTTATGCACTCAAAACTCAATGAGAACTCTTTTTGTGTTCTCTAAACAATGAATTTAAGGTATAGGTTTTGGGTAAGTCCTAAGAATGAAAATTTGTTTGTATACCATGATTGGATGTTTAAATATCTTCAAGAATTCACTTTAATGCATCTTAAAAGTCTTTTTCTTTTCCCCATGCTTATTTTATTCATTAAAAGATAGATTAAAATCACTTACCTCCATGATATGATTGAGGTACAAAGAATAAAGTAATAATTTCTCAAAATAAAATTTATACGTGTATAGTAAATTTTCTCTTTCAGTCAAGATTGGTCGCAAACATGGGGCAGATTAATTTTATCTCCCTTCAACATCACCTCATTGAATATGTAAAATAATCACTTCCATGTTCTATTTTTAGCTTTTATCAGAAAAAAATAATTCTTCCAGGAAACTGCATTAGAAATCTGCTGTAGAATTACATTAACAAAAGTGTCCTCCTTTGCTTTCATGCCATGAGAAGCCCATGAAAGATATTCACTTTAGAATTTAGTGCCAAGTAAGACACATTACAAAACTGGTACTTCTCTCTTGTATTATATGCATTACCCTGGCTCTTACTATACTTTTTGTTTTTCTCCAACCAGAAACATCAGAACCTCCTTGGACACGTAAGCACAGTGGTTATGTTAACCTTGCACTTTGCACATTTGCTTCTCTTTGTTTCTTAGCAATAGAAATAGAAAATCAGGGCCGGTTTTGTAATCTTACTTTAGTTTTAGGAAAGGCCATGAATGAACACAATAAATACATGAATGAAAAGATCCATGCTATATTTCAAAATCAAGCATTTTCTTTGACATTGTTTCCTTTGCTGTCTCTCACAGTCCCGGCAGAAAGTCAAGGTAACGGTTCTACCCGCATTTGATTGCTGCAGAAACAAAGGATCCCAGAGGGCAAAGGCTCACGTGAGAAATCTGGACCGGTGTAAGGCAAAGGTCTTCCCATGTTTTGTTATGTGCTTGTTCCCCTCTGGTTCAAAAGGGCTTTTTAAGCACAGGGAAAAGTACAAAACAAGTTGTTTTCATGGCCACTGTGGAGACTTTGGACTGTTAGATTACTACTCAGAGCTTTGACACACAGTGAGGGACTGGACCACCAGCCTAGGGCACAGCCAGCCCAACTGTCTGCCATCCAAGGGGCTCCTTCGCGATATCATGCCTGAGTCACCAGTGACCTGCGTGGTTAGGAAAAGGAAACGTTCTCTTCACTGTAGTGCCGCCTCTTTGGGACAGTAACTCACACTCATCTATCCATCCACGTTTCCACTAGGGCTGGCATACGCTAGCAAGGCAATAAACATTCATTGAGCTGCATTCACCAATGGCAAGAAATACATTCATTGTGGAGAATGAAGTGTGGTTTGCACACCTTAGCCTCACCAATCTTTAATGATGAAATTTTTTCTTATGGTGTTATAGAAAATAAAAATACTAAAAACCCAAGGCCATAAAACTTCATCAGTCTAGGTTATTCTGTTTTTTCATGAGCTATGCTCTGGCTTCTTCAGGCGAACACAGTTTTGCCTGGTATGAACTCATTGTCTGTAGGTTAAACTTCGTGTGTAGCAAGATTGAAGTGACTGACTTTGCTTGCCTGATAGAATGTTTCTGAAAGACGTATAATTGTTCTTATTTCCCAGTGAAGTAAAGTCATCAAAAATGGGAAGTATTTTTCAGCACTTACCATATCCTAGGTTGCTAGGTGCTGTTGGGTATGTTGTTTCATATAATTCATGTGACAATTCTAAAAAAAAAATATGAATTTATATTTTGGATTATAAAACTGAAGCTGAGAAAGCTTAAGCAAATATTTCAATTTTTTTCTTCAAAGCCTGTACCATTTTAATTCTACAGGTAAATAGCAGGTCATTTATGCTACCATTAA